GAATAAGAATTATCGGGAGTTATATTTGGCAGAAATTTTACTTGAATTGTCATAATTAAAACTACATGGTAGTTCCGTCAATCAAAACAATTTTCTTTTTATGTACCAACTTTTTTTTATTATTCACCAAATAAAAGGGAGCATCAATGTACAGTAAAACATTTAAACTTCAATCGCGATTGATTTGTCATTGTTAATTCGTCTAAGTTAGAAAATTAGAAACGTTATTATTATTTTGTTCAGTATAGGGCATTCAAAACTGCATACGTTTAATTAATATGAAATTTTTAATTGTTTATCACGTACCTGATGAACCTTGACGCCAAGGTGCTTTATGGGTACCCTCTGGAGTATTACATTGCGTAACTTTTCCGGATAGTTTATCACGCGTAATTTGAAGTAGAAGTGCTGTAAGGGAATTACATATACATATAAATTATTAGTTAGATTTGATATATCCACGAGCGCTAATACCTTTTTTAACGATCAAACTCGGATGAATCTCTCTTACATCGTCCATCAAATAACAAACCTAATTTATGTTCACTCAATATTAATTGTTCTGAATATACACATATGTAATTTCACGGTTTTTTGTCCATAATCCCCTCCTCGGGTACTACCTTGTCGCGGTGGAGGGGCTCAAGTACCCCGAAGAGTTACTCTCTAAAAATCAATCAGTGCATTATCACTGAATCAGTGAATATTCACTGTTTTCAGTGATAATCCATTGATTGATTTTAGAGAGTACATACTCTAAAGACGGGACAACCAAAGGTACCCATTGCACTATTTGGGCTCGATTTTTCAGTTTCTAATAAACTGTTGACCATAGTTTAATCGATTCTCTGTCTCTTCTTAGATAATAATATAGAAAAGCATAGAGAGTCGAGTAACTTCCATATTAACAGTTAAGCAGAAAATGATAAACCAGGCCTAACACTCTCTGAAAGTTAATCGGTGGATTATTACTGAAAATAACGAATCGATTCACTGTTTTCAGTGATAATCCACCGATTGACTTTTAGAGAGCACATTTATTAATTGATTTTGTTCATTTCAGCACGAACTTTCGAGAACTGACGAATAATTTCGATATTATTTCGCCAGTTTAAACGAATCGCAACCGCGCGCGGCGATTCGTCGTGTCGCGTCGCGTTCGGGAGTGCCGTTTGTGTAATTGGACTAAAGACTTTCAAAGTGTAAAATCGCGCGGACGATCTTTGTGTGTGCGCGAGTGTGCAAGAAGACAACCTGAGTGGAGGAGGAGGCCTGGGGAAGGCATCATGCACCGGCGGAGCAACCTTAGGGTAAATATTTTTTTTTGTATAAAATTAATCTTCCTCTTGTTTATTTTCAATAATTTAAAAATTATTTTCTTTAATGTTTATTTTCTTGAATACTCTGTTTTAACATGAACTTTATAATTATATGTTACAGGATCAACGTAGTTCAACTCCGCTGCTGCGCATCGATCGGTGAGTCAAAAACTTTTTTATTACGGCAACGAATATACACACTGTAAAAAAATTACATATAAAATTACAAATATTATAATGAGTAATGTTGGAACCATCTATTAAAGGTGTATATTTACATATGTCAGTAAATTTACTGCTTGTAAAATTATTACCTTATATAATAAGTAAATTGCTTGCTTTATTGTGTAAATTTAACATTTTTTTGTAATTTTTCATCATGTATAAACGAGTATTTACACAACAAAGAGTAAAAATTTTTTTTATAAAAGTACATATTTATATTATTAATAGTGTAATCGCTACACTTATTATGTATGTAATTTTACATACTTTTTTTACAGTGCATCTCGTAGATCATAGATTGTAGATCGTAGATCATAGATTGTAGATCGTAGATATCTTGTATATTCGTTGCCTTAAAATGGATAGGTTTTAAATGCTAACGGAAAGTAAATTTTTTATTTAACTCTCCACATTCGTTTAATGTCATAGAGCTCTACAAATCACAGTAGGTCGAGCTCATTTTCCATGTTGAGAATCGGTGAATTACCTCACGAACTTAAGCAAAATGTGGCGAATATTATTGATGTATTCGTCGAGCTAATTTCTTGTAGCCTATCCATTTTTATTAACGAATTGATATATAAACTAAAATAATATGAGATTTTAAATATGTTTTGTCCAGGACACTGAAATTTTAATTTTTATATATTATTTGCGGTTATTAATTAAGTATAATATGTAATTGTAATATCGGTTGGAACCGTGAAAGAAGTTTCGTTTTTCTGGATCTCATATCATTTATTATTTGTGTGTGTATGTATATGTACGTGACATACGTACTTTCAAAATGCGTCTTGCATGAATACATGCATAGTCACACGCATCTTTGTATTTTCGCGGTCGGTTTTCGCGGTCGGTTTTCGCGATCGGTTTTTCAGGAAAAATTTTCAATTAATTATTTAATTTTATCCATATTATAAATTTTAATTTATCGAGGAATATGATTAAAATTACTCTAACGCGAAGTCATTTGTTTTCTATATCTACTCGAATTTTGAATTCAGAGATCAATTTACGAAGAGATGGTCAACATTTTTAAATAATAACGGAAGTAAACATAAATTTGATTCATACATACCGTAAAGTTTTTTTAATTAATATTTTTCTTTAATTAACTTCTCGTGGTTGTGCATTTTTCGATATACGATCGGCGCTCGCATATAGTTCGAATCGTACGAAATATCTGTCGGTGATAAACCGACTATGGAAGAAGTTTTCTTTCTTCCCGATCTCTGGTCAAAATGACCAGACTGTATGGCCAGGAGCAACGAAAGGTATGTCCAATCTGGCCCAACGAAAGAAGACTGGATACGACGGAGTAAGTGGTCAATATTGGCCACTCCGATAAAGTATGTGACTAAGGTGCGAAATAAATTGATTTGTCATTATTTATCAAAATTCGGGTGGGTTATATTCTTGTCTTCTTTACATCTCGCATATGTGCGAGATTAACAAGACTCCTATTAAATCCCATTCGCGTGCGTATAGCCCCAAATCGGACCTTTTATAAATCGCGTCGCGGTTCTAACGAAAGACTTGTAGGTTTATTAACAAGTTGAAACGCGGGTAGGTAGGAAAATGGATAGGACTATACATCGGAATACGGGCAGGTAGTGATTCGCGGCGGGTTGGCAGAAACGGGGGGACATAATTCGATAAATAAATTTTCTTTTATTTTAAATATAAATAAAATTAATTTATTTTATTTTAAATTGAATAAAAAATCGAATTGAAAATTCGATAATTAAAAAGATAGATAAAATTACAACTGCAATGTATTATTATTAAATATGAATTAGAACATAACGGATCAATTTCCTTCCTGGACACTTTAGTTATCAATTGATGCGACAAGTCGTTGGTGTTTTAAATAACAACACTGGCCAGTGTAGGTCGTTTAAAAAAACTATTATTGGTTTTGTATTACTGGCGATAGGAAATCTATTTCTGAGTTATCTTTATATTAATTTTCTTTTATGATTTCTTTGCAATTATCTATCATATCATCAAAAAATGCAATACGTGACTGTATCATATGAGGATAACTATCTTTATTGTCTAGATTTATTCGCATTTCTGATATTGTCTTCTGCATTTATCTTAGTGTCATTGTTCAGCGTTTCTACGTAAAGTATAATAATCTATGTCTATTCATAGGCAGTATAGGTACATCTCTGAACTCTTTCTATCTTTGTTCCCTGACATTTTTTATTGTAATTCCACAACCATTATTACACTTTCTTCTTTTCTTGTACTCTTTTCCATCACTACTTTCTAATACATTATAATAAAGACACATATAATCACATTAATTCGACCTATTAAAAACCAGTGCCGGATTAATTTGTCGGATGACTGGAATATACGTGAAATATAGGAGATATAAATAAAATGATATATGTAAAGTCATCATAGTATAATTAAACTTATTATGTTAAAAATGAAATAAAAGAAGATCATTACATACATATACATAATTACATACTGCATACTAATATTTGATACAAAACAATTTATTGTTTAGAAAAATACTCTTCAATGGAAGTTTGTCTTTTTACAAGAAAATCGCAGTCAATTATTTGTCTCACATACGACTGTAATTGATCAATTTCTAAAAGTTTACGTCTAACAATTTGATTGCAGATGTTACATAGGGGTAGCGAAAGCTCGCTATAGTATCAGATTATTTAGACATGTCGGATGATTGCAAATTAGTAAGATTATATACTGTACTTCCTTTGTCATCATCATTTTTTCTTTTATCGTCTCTTGTGTCATATCGCTTCCAATTTTTCCCCAATTTTTCTCTTGAAAATTTCTTTTTTATCTTGTGCAATAATTTTCTTTTTATTTTTGGGATTTCTCTTTTCGTTTTTTTGTGTTCTATTCAGACCCTTATCGGATTCTTCTCTCCTTGTTTTAACATTAAACTTTATTATTTTTCTTTTCTCTTCTTTCTCATCTCTTTTAATTTTTTCGCGTTTATATACCCATTATTTCCCATCTTTTCGTTATAATAAAATCTACTTTTTTCTTTTATTTTTTCGCTATTAAATCTTCCCAGATTGTCATCTCATTGTCAGTATTTCTCCTTTTGTTTTTCCCTCTTATCTATCTAACTAGCAACTTCCAGATATAAATTTTTAGCAATGTCACTCTTATAACCGATTTAAAAAAATTTCAAAACAAAAATTACTTGTTATACAATTAAAATAAACACGTTATAAAAAAATCTATTCTTTTATCCTGAGAAAATTATTCTTTAATATAAAGTTACAACTTTCGGTAAATTGACATTTTTGCACGATAAAGAATTAACATTTTGGTTGCATGATAAAGCGATGAACTGAGGCAGTCATAAGTTCATAATTATCTATAAGTAGATACAATTCATTCTCTCTAAATCGCGATATGCTTATCGTTCGTATGTTCCGGGAATACCAATCTTTGTAACAGCGGCACGTGTTACTTATATGGTAGACGCGAATAGGTTCTCTCTCTTTCTCTCGTGAGATTTGGTCACAGAATGACCGATTCGATAAGTCGTTATTCGCTTGCGGACGTCGCAAAGTGCAATGGTAAGAATGGAACAAGAATCTGGATCGTGATTTACGACAACGTTTATGATGTGACGGATTATATGCAACAGGTAGGCGTGCATAAAATTATAAAATTATATATTATAAATATTAGAAACGTTACAAGTATGCCTTCCTTAAAGCCTGATCTACATTGTACTCTTCGAGATGAAAAACATTCTATTACATATAAGCACTTGAATACAAGTTTTACATTAAAAACTTTGTTGCCAAATGTATGATTGTATTGAATGTGTAATGTACAATTTATCAATTATCAACACAAAAGTTTTAAACCTATTTATATTGACTGTAAAATATAATGTTTCTAGAACAAAAAGTATATATAGATAAAACTTAAATTCAATTACATATTTTTTACATAAATTAAAATTATTTTGTGATTCTATGCACGAAAGTATAACTGATTCAAAAGAAGTTATATTAAGTGAAATAAATAAATATTTTATATGATATTTCATATATTTTACATAGAAGAATGTCAATATAAAATATGAGACATTTGATAAACAATTCATTTTTAAAACAATATATTACAATATAATAATATAATAATGTGAGGAATATACAGAATTTTATGAAAATTTCGAATTGTTTAATTTATAGAGAGTGAAAGTCAATAGTAAAAAAGATGATTATGATATGAAATTATGATTTACTACACTTCAAATCTCCAGCAAAGCAAAAATTACAAAATTTTATCGAAATTATATAACCGAGAAATAAAACATTTTTTTTTTGGTAAAAATAAGTTAAAAATATAAACTAAGTTGATTCTACGTGAAATATAGTAAAAAATTATTTTCGGAATTTGAAAGATTGGTAAAAATTAGAAGATAATATCTTTTATCTTATATCTTTTATAAGTTTTCAACCTTTGATAATTTTGCGTGCTATTAAAACAGTATGGTACAAATAATAAAGTTAAAGAAAGTAGATTATTACATAACGATTAATATTGAATTAATTTTTGTCTTTTTCTGAAAAAAAAAACCTATTTTATTTTATATTTCAATGAACATTTTAACAATTGGTAACAAAAGATACAGATGATACAGATTTATTCTAAGTTGTCAAAGAGAAAAGACATTATCATAATTTTAATCATATTTTATATTTTTGTTAATATACACTTAACTTAAGTTTATTATATTAATAGGCATGCAATTACTATTGCATTACGCTATCGTTACGTATTCTAAATTATGTTTATTATTATATAACTCAGTTATACACAAAGATAATTTAATAAAGTAATTTAATGAATAGATTATAGGAAATAATATTAAAATTATAGCATCCCGGTGGTTCAGAATTAATCGAGGAACATGCGGGAACAGACGCGACGAATGGGTTCGATGATTTCGGGCATTCTTCAGATGCAAAGAAGATGCTCAAAAAGTATTTGATTGGTGAACTTGAAGATGTAAGAACAACTTAAAAATTGATAAGTATTAACATAATTATTAGTTTACAGAACAAACGTCTACAGAAACCATATAAAGTCTTACAAAATCGGTTCTCGTGTTATTATAAATGATAGTATTTTACATAATTTGGCACATCTTTTTGGATATAATACGCCGAATGTGACATGTTATAGGAAGATAAACGTATCAATAGAAAGAAGAAACTTGCTGTCTCTAACGGAATAAAAGTGAACGGAACGGAGATTAAACCGAAAAAACGAAGGTACAATTGTCAATCAATAACATTAATGTTTATATTAATTATAAGAAAAAATTTCTTACGCCGTTTAACTTTATTAAGCAATGCGAGGCAGAAAAAGTCTACCTAGAGGCGATGCTTCCTTAAGAGATAGGAATGTAATACTACGAAAACCTTTTCAGCATTTGGAAAAAGTTAATTCAATAATGCTTTGTAACAATGCGAAGCTAGATTAACAATAAGCGCTTTTTATAATATTAATTATTCTCATTTGCTATTCTCGTGTTTCAGACCTTTTTTCAAGAGAATCTGCGGCAAATGTGCATAATGAAGAATCGTAAATATCGATGGTATAATTATTTTAGATATATAAGTTTATTTATTACGTCATGTGTGTTACATTTGCTATCTAAATAAGGCATCGTTCGTGACAATGTGCACGACGACATATTAACGATAAGAATCGTCGAGATTAAACCGTTCGCTTATCGCTCGTACGTGACGTACGTATTGGAGATCTATAACAATGAACAAGGAAAACCAACGGCAAATTACGTCCGCAAGCATGAGTCATGCATCATCTGTTTATCACATTCACGAACACAGTTACAGTAAATTCTCCATGAAATTTTCAGTGTTAAATGTAACCTCATTTCGTTAACAAAATTTTGTGACTTGAGACCAACTCTATTCCTTTGTAAGTTAAATTAACTTAAGTAAGCTTCGGTTAAATACTATTTCATGTTATAGATAGCATACAATTAATAAAATATGTATTCATAAAATTATTGGGAATGATATAACTGAATTGTAAGAGCTGGCAGTGTACTTAGAAATTGATCCACACGATACGATACCGCAAGAAATTGATAAGGTATTCTGAGCACCAGTACTGTTCGCCTTGCACATAAGGAAAGTCCGCCTCGTCATACGTGCTGTAAATGCCAAGGCCTCATGGGCTGTCATAAAATTTCCCCCTTTAACTCATTTTAAACAACTAAGGGACTTCCCAAATAAAGATTTTAACGCAATGGAGCTCTCAATGCATTATTCAGCGCCACTACATTATTAACAGCTGTTTAAAACCAATATGAAATTCTGTCAAAGAAGATACTTATTGATAGATTTAATAAGATATTTTAATTTAAATATTTAAATGAACATAACGCGCGTAAATAATTTTAATTAATAATTTTAATTATTTATTAAGTAATTTTAAAATTAAATCCAACCTCCCATTACTCGACCTGTCGCTTTTGACTTTCCCCGCAATTTTGTAGTTTGAACCGGTACTACTTCGGATTTCCGTTCTTTCGCGTCGGATTCAGCGCATTTTTCTGCATCAGTTTCCTTATTTGTTTCCGAGGTTTCCTGCTCGGTGTTATCGCCGTCATTCCTCTCTGTATTTCCCGATTTCTCAGACTTTGCATCCTCTGCCCTCTCTTCTTCTTTCTGCTCTTCTAACGCCCCTTTCTTGCTTGCTTCCTCATCTTTTTCTTGCTTTTCTTGCACATTTTCCTTTTCTTCCACTGTTTTCTCTTGATCGGACATTGCTAATGATTCTGACTGTTTGCTGATTTCTTCTCCTACAAGATCCTCAGGTATAGGCGACGGCGATCTTACTTCGGTGGTCTTAACATCCAGTAACGACTTATCCACACTGCTGCTCATAGACTTTAGTAGACTTTTTTTTAATATTTCGCTGGCAGGTCGTGGTACTATGTCTATAGAAGTTTCTGCTATCATAACTTTGCTGCTTCTTCGAGGCATCTCCTCAGTCTTTTGTGTGGTATTATTTGTATCTGTATATTCGAAAAAGAGAATTAATAATTTATACGTATCTATTTTTAACTTCTTATTTTGATTTCTTGAAGTAACTTTCTTTTCGTATCGCAACATGTAACGAAATAAAAGATATTTTCATTTCTTTTTATTTTCTGAAATGTGCGATTTGAAATAAATAGTTGTTAACATTTCTCCCTATGATTGAATAAAAAAGAAAAAAGAACAAATATCAATACTATCAATATTTTTTAAATTTCCATCTAATAGTACTTTAACTTTGTTTGAAAATTTGAATGAAATCATGTGTATAAATATATGGATAGTATATTTTAGCTAACTATTCTAAGCTTTTTTTTAAATAGATACCTTGATCATGAAACAAATGCTAATTTATCAAACCGCTAAAGAAAAGTTACCTCAAACGTGACAAAAATATTCACAGATCAAAGAAAGGTTGATGCGGGATGCATAGAATTTACTTCAATATCTCTGCGAGGAACTTAAATTGCAATAAAGAATTTGAATGAGAATTTACCGTCGGGCTGCTCGTCCGGCTGCTGGTCCGGCTTTTTCTTGCTCAGCATAAACTTGGCGTAGGCTATTCTAGTGGCCGGCGTAAAGTCCGAGAGGTTTGGATTATAGTCGATCAATCTTTTCGGATCCATGGATGCCAGGTCGGAGTCCGGCTGGTGTCGCAGCTGGCGACGTAGACTACGCCGGCTTTGACGTTGCACCGCTTCGTTCGTACTCCCAATAGGATCCTTCGCGATGGTGCTCTGTCTCACCACGGCGTTCCAGTCCTTTTTAACAGAACCGCTACCTTTCCGTCCTATCGCCTTTGCAATTTGACTGAACACGTCTTTCGGCTCCTTCTCACTCTGAATAACAGCTTGCACGATGCCTTCCACGATACCAATCTGGAAATCCTTCTGAAGTCGACGCTCCATCACTCTACCTTTTTTGCCGGGTACTTGAGAAATATACAAAATTACAGTTTATAAGTGTTATATTAATTTTTAAAACGCATTACTCTCAAAAACAAAATATTTTCAATTGTATGGCCACTAGATTATAAAAGAAAAGTTTTATATTGAAAAGATAAAATTCTATGAATACCACTTTAGATTTCAACGTGGTATCTACTTTTTTATTTCTCATTACGCGATTTACTTTAATTCACCACTTCTTGAACTAGTATAGTGATGTTGAAAGTCTCTTTTTTTCTAAAGAGAGAAATTTAGACCCCCTGATCTCTATCGCGATAGGATACCTTAGTGATCAATTACATGATGGGTTTAGTACGCATAAATATACTGACTGTTTGCATCCTCTTTGTCAAGCGCCGGTGTGCACATTCCGTTTTTCCTAAGAATATCGATCAGATCGTAACGAAAACTTGAAATGTCCTGGCGAATTTCCCTGACATCGTCCTCTGTGATACCGAACTCGTCTCGTTTTGTTTGTTCAGCTGTCACGTAACGACGTATAAGTAGACGCACTATAGTATCGTGTCTGGCCAGAGCTTTCTCTCGTGACTTTTTCTGAAATAAAATATTTTAAAGTTTTATTCGAGTGGGTGTTTACTCTGAAATAATAATGTTCTTTCAGATTAACACTATCCCTATGGTAGTCTATGACAGTAGGTTGTAACATTATCAATATGGCTTATTATTTTCACCTATTAATAAACTACCGAGGTAATTGCCTCTTCATTCGAAAATCACGTTTTCTTAACAAAATTGTTAGATGATGTTATTATTTATCACATTATCCACATTTTCACCAAATTCTAATATTTGCATATTTCTTCAACTAAACTTTAAAGCCATCAATGATAGCCTTAACAATTCAAGTGCACTGAGTGAATCGTAGCGAAAAAAGATTTGCGATTGAATTTGGACGTTGAAAACCTGCTGTCTCGTATTAGAATCCTATCTCGTAATGGAGGACTTTCTTCCGTAAAAGTGAAAGTCTCACTGTACGTTTTTTATATAATTCTGTACCAATAGACCGATCTGAACCAAGTTTGGCATAGTTATTCCGGTTATTCGGTAGGATTCTGTGAAAAATATAAGCTATCTTTTAATTTGGAAATCCAACTAAAATCAACTTTCGTCCTCTGAAATCAATACAATGTTATATGCCGTACCTAGGAAATTGTAATAATTAGAATGGGAATTTATGCATTCATAAAAGACTTTGCGCAGTTATAAATAAACTATGTGAATAGGAAATAATGTATTGGCCAAAAAAGGAGATTCCACAATGGGGAGGCCCGAGCGAAGTCGGGCAAGCGCGTTAGTTATTTATAATCGTAAAGTGTACATGGTTATACATAAAAATTATATTGATACGAAATAAGTTTTATCGTAAAATCCAAATTAATGAAATGGAATTAATGAAAAGAATATTCCGCGATTTTGGAGAGCACTCGACTAGATATGTAAAAATTATTTACTATAAAGGATTTTGTGGAACGACCGCCGCCTCCACATTTAAATAGCTTCTGGAAAGTTTTATTCGTCGGGATCATGTTAAATGGGGGTGGTACAGTATCGCCATCCTCGAAATAACTCATCCATAAGTGACTCCTGGCGAATTTCCATTCTGTGTCAGATCTTTCCTAAAAATATACAATATGTCAGTACAGTGATATCAGCACGAGCTGTTAAGTGCCAACTTTGAAAGATTTAATGAAGGATATTGTGCGAAAATTAAATGATATATTTATTTATCGACGTGAGTCAGAATTCTGACAGTTTGGAAAATTGCTGATTCTACCGAAATGATTTGATAAGAATTAGACATCATAGCAATCAGCATATTCAACAGCACAATGACGTTTATCACGGAGTAAGAACCAAACATCAGAAGTGCCCAGAATCGAGTAAAGCTCTTAATGCCCGTCAGGTCGAATGACATTAAATCGACCATGCCGAAACTTGCCCAGAAGAGAGATTGCGATGTCTCGAACAAACTGAAAACATGAATCAAATTTCAATATCATCCTCCTAAACAATTAGATACACTCGACCTCCGTACTTGGCGAATCTTCTCCATATGGAGCAGGCTTTCTCCTGATTATCGAAATCTGGCAATTCGTCTGACTCGTGATAACATTTTCTCTTCTCCAAGTCTGCATAATACCACATCAACTGATTCATGCCTGCAAACAAATAGGTTTCAGACAAAACATTCTCGTATTTGCCATTTATTCCACTTCGCACCCATTGCGTTAAACTGGAAGATTAATAGTTCTGTCTGAGAAGTAAAAGTGGGATGATTTTTCGATTAGCATGTATGACGAAACTTGCAAGTGAATAATGGAGTTGCGACATATAAATGAGTAATCGAGAGGTGCGTTATTTACCGCAGCCAAAGGCGAACAGCACCAGTGTGTAGATAAAAAAGAACTTGATAATGTCTATTATCATCCTCCCGAGGGAAATTTGGAGCGGGCCGAGATGAGGATTCACGCTGAATATATGGACAAGTTTTAAAAAACTGAAATAGGGTGTATTATAAAAACGCGTGTACATGCGCTGGAATATTAAGTCGGTATAAGACATATTTCCTAAACGTTCAGAAATTACCTAAATATCATGCCAGCTGCGAACGCTCCCTCTGAAAGCAGCATTGGGTCGAACGCGTGCCATTGATCTCTTGGATACCAAGGATCTAAACCACTCCAATATTCTCTCTGCCATAAAACAATGTAGTTCAGCGAACAATTCAAAGAAAGAAATAATCATTTCTTGTAATCTTTTAGATTTCACGTAAAAAATACATTATTTGTTGCAACTTGAAGAAATTTGAAACTATAAATAAAAAAGGTTTACTAATGTAATTCACCGCATTACAACAGTAACGTGTTAGAAGAATTTAAGGATGAATCGTTTCAGAAGTAAGTCATGAATGATGTTTCTAGGTCAAACGTTCGAAATCACTTTTTTATACCCAGTAGATTTAAACTTTTAACCGTTAAAATAATAAATATAAACAATAGGGGTAATAATATTTTCATAATAATAAACTCAGTTGTATTACGACACAGAAAGTTTGCATAAATTAAGTCACTAAGAAGAATTTATCGAACAATGGATAGTAAATGTACAGCATTGGTGCTCCAGCAGGAAGCGGGATTTTGTGTGACAACCAACAAAACGAGCGATAAAAACTTATGTATGCAAGATTTAAATAGGGCGCTTCAAATTTTTGTACAAAAAAATTTTTATAAAAATTCAAGAATTCGTTTAGAGAGATATTTTACGTTCAAATCACATTCTATAATCAATAATATATTTATAATAATTACTTACTTTTGATTACATGTTATTAGAATGCATTCGACTATATCTAGTAATATCTGAGATATATTTATAATTTTAATAGAAATATAATAAAACCAACCTGTACAATCCACCAAGCTGTAACGCGCAAACTTATCCAGATCACATAAAATGTATTTTGAATGAAATCAACGATATTCCACAGATCCGATATGTATTCAATTAATCCATCTGCCCATAAAGACTTAATTTCGCCGATGATTAAACCTGCAAATGCGTTTGTTAAGAAGTGACAGTCAATTGCTAGAAAATAATCCATAATCCGGCAGTTTACATAGTTTACAATAAAAAATATTTTATAGTTGGAATAAAATCAGTTATTTGTGCGAATTCTATATATTAATCTAAATCTAAAGAAGAGAACAATTTTTATACACATGTAAAATATATTTGCTAAATTGAATATTATTCTCTAAATTAAATCAATCTTGGAAAAATGGAAAAAAATCTCGTGCATATAACGAGATTTTTCCATTTTTTTTCCAGGATTGGCTGCAGTTGCGGTCGGTAATCCACCTCCTGTGGTAAAAGGTTGGTGCAACCACTTTGATTCTCCCTGTATGTGTTATTATACATATAATGATAAAATAGTTAACCATTTTTCACTTTTGTATCTTAAGTGATGAACAGAAAATACTAATAAGATGTTTTAACTTTATCATTTAAAACAAAACAAGGGAAAAATGATTAACTATTTTTAATATAGCAATTTAGTCGGCCGCGTTACTTATCACGTAGATAACCACGCCTGTCTCGACAAAACCCGGAATACACCCGCGTTCCCGTCTTTTCCAACCGGCAAGTATCTCTCGCATCCATGCGTTGCCAAATAATTCGATTAATAGATATTCAATTCTTTGCGACGCCATGCCGAGCAGCACTTAAAAAGAAAATTCTCCATTGAGCGCTTCTTTGAAACAAAATAATATATAAACGTACGAAATAAGTAGAGATGTCTTACTTAGAAAAAAAGCGTACGATGCAGAATGACATATGAACTTGACGAACGGCTTTTTCATAAACAATCCCATTTGTGAGGTGGGGGCCATCATATAGATAGAACTATAAACTGGAAACATCGCGCCAAGTTTGGCAACTTCCATTAACTGCGCTATCATGCTTTTCCTTCTGAATCCCGGAAGACCATCATACCAGATAGCAGCCAGTAATTGTTGCACGTTCGGATGAGCGACAAACTTTAACAAAATAAATAAAAATTAAGATAGATATTATACAAATAACTATAATAAATGTTATACGGGGAAAACTAAAATCGTACAATTAAATATAAGATCAAATTCTATTCTATATACAGGGCGTCAGACTCGTTAGCAGCCAAACTAAAAATTACGGTAGATTGGGTTAAACTGAGAAGAAAAGTCATGTACCGTTTTGCAAGATTAGCAATAGTTATCGCGTAATTGATAAAAACGTCTGGCCGAATGAGCGCACATGGAGCGAAAGGCTCGATGATTATAATATAAAAATGAATATCCTCTCAATACAAAGTAAATAGTTACAACAATATAGCATAAAGAAAAATCGTCCACATATAACGCATAGTAGGAAGGATTAAAAACGCAGTCTATTGGAAGAGGTCGTCAACTCCGCTAAAATAAAACATCGAAGGACAAGGTCTGCAGAAGTATCTTGTCCGCTATATTAGTAATTTATTACGTTTCTTTAAAAAAAATTAAGTAATATTATTCAGACTTGTCGCTTTTGAATATTTACAATAGTTACAAATACTTGAAACAGTAGGCAAAATGATCTTTAGTCTTGTGAAATAATATTAAATAAAAACCAAGCATCAGAAGAAGAATTGCTATCCCAGCGAATACCAAATAAGAGTTACATAACATTATAATTTCCTACTCAACAATGTAAATGCAAATGGTGTTTATTGGGTATGTGGCACGGCTTATGAATACTAAACATGAGATATGCGAGATGCAGTGATTAATTTCTTACTCTTACAAGTTATGTTCGTGTTAGGCCACTTAGCTTGTTGTTAGAATAAATTTTATCATTAAACTCGTTATGAGAAAAGCCACAAACCCTTTTTAAAAAATACGGTTTTAAATAAACCTTTAGAGAAAATTTCGAGATAAATTAAAAAATCCATCCCCTTTATCTATTTACTATTTAATTCCAAAAGAATTCAAAAAGATCATAATGTCGGTAATATTGGAGCTTATTAATATTACATGAGGACATGTGCTACACTTTCTTATCATTGCCACTATTATTATTACTATTAAATATTATCAGTTTATATATTTTAATAAAGATATAAACAACACGTATTATCATAAAGAGCCTACATACTTGTTTCTGCTTATATTTAATAGCTAGCTTGAGTCGGTCCAAGGTCTGCCTCTCCCCAGGATCCCAATTCTCGCCAGTAGGATTGTAGTTTAACATTACTTCCAATTCGTAAGATGTACGCGCGTGGTCCAGCAAGCCGGTTGCAAATTGCTGTGTTTGTTCCCGCATCTCCTAAATTAATGTCGAATTATATTTAAGACAGACAAATACATAGTGCACTTGAACCTAAAAGAACGTAACTCTAGATTAAACTTGTTGTATTTGATCTATCCTGATCTAATGCTTTACCTAAAACATTCATACAAGAATGGAGTTAAGGGGATGAAGTAAAATCTTATAAGTAATCTCTGTTCAAATATCTGTTGATATATAATAGTTTTGAATTCTCTATGATTCTCTATGATTTTGAAGTAATTCGAAAAATAAAAGTTCAAATAGACTTGAATCTAAACGAAATAGATTCGAACTTTACGAGTATCTCAAAAAATGATGAGAGTATTGTTACTTCTAATTGTAAGTAAAATCTGGATCAAATACGTTCAAATATGTTACATGAATTTGTATGAATATTTCACTAGAAATTTTGTATTCCTGTGAATTAAAACATTTGTACGGTAATAATTTTAATATATTTTTTCGATAATTATAAATATTAAATTCTCAAACGTTGAAATTAAACATAATAGCAATATGATGGAAAATATAGAATAAAAGTTATGTAAAATTTTCACATATTCTTTCACAACTCTATTCTGGAATTCGAGTACTGTTCGTAAAAGATTCAACTTTTTAAGAAAATTATTCATAAGTACGTTTCAAATTCTGCAAGTACTTATTTAAAAATTCGAAACTAACTAATCGGAATCGAGTACTTTGCAAGTACAATGTATGAAATATTATTTCTTACTTATGAATCAAACTTGATTATATTGGTTTTGACTCGGATTTTTAAGTACACATTGAACCGATTCTTGATTCTCTAAGTGGAATATGCTTCTATTATGTATTTTATTAATAAATTTACTTTCGGTAAAAGTTAACGACGATAGTATATCATCCATATAACATAACGTTTAGCAGAATCCGAATTCAAATTAGATAGATTTAAAACTTTTCCTGTAAAGATCAATAAAGATTATATAATAAGGAGCAGGGGAAAAAATTAATGTAATTTTTGTTAAGCCTGGCTAAGGCAAACATTTGTATGAATGTCTGTTATACTATTTGTTGAAACTTTGCTTGCGAACAAGGTTCTATCCAGACCAAGTAAACGAATATGAATGAATGAATGACTTGCTTCAATGAGTGCGAACAACAACAACAACACTCTGCACTCATTGACGCAAGTTGTTGGTCACTCTTATTTAATCTGGATCCGGACAAAATGTATATACAAGCTTGATCTAGATCTAGATTTTCGAGAACACCCGGTATGCGAAAGATCAAGATTGTAAGCGATATAAATTTCAGTTACGGTATCACATTTAAAGGGTTTCAAACAACTCGGGTAGAGGGAGAGGGGGAGGAAAAATTAGCCAGTTAAGTACGTTGTATTGGGAGCGAAATTCTTGCTCCATCCTGCTCAGACGACGCAATTCCCATGAAAGCTCGAAGGCCGTCAAAAGTGGGTCTCTCGATGAAAGCGCGATTAGAGATGACGAAGTGAGCGCTCGGTATGCATTTATTCGAGATTGCGAGTGTCGGAGGGAGTCCTGTTCGCTAGAAGTGACACATTCGTCGCAACCGCATCTATAACAAAGCGGCAACGCTACGTTTTCTCGTCTTTGCAACAAGAGTCGTTTAATTGTACACAAATTAATTAATACCGAATGCATTGAAAAGTTGTGAGTCGTTAAATATTTTATCTGATTTAAAATGCAAAAGTAACAGAATAATTTAAGACTGTTATTAGACAATACGTTTTATCCTTTGTATACCTTGCATCGTGAGGTGTTGGAAGAGTTGCACCACGATCCAAGAGCAGTTTCAATATTTCGTAATTATTTTTATGAGCTGCTAAAGTCAACGGAGTTATATCAGACGTAAAGTTCGATGACGAGTCTGCAGCCTCCCAACTCTGAAAAAACAAAATGTGAAAGTATCGTCTCCATTTTTATAATCAATAATTAATCAATTAAGATACATAACTGTTACACAAGATCATAATGTTAAAGTCTCAGATTAATACTTTAATTATTAAGCAGGTAATTCATACTATACAATATTTTTTATTTAAGGAGACTATATTAATTTTTGCTCTATTTTCTTATTACTACAATAATTTTTTAAAAAGGCATCAATTTTTTTAAGTGTAATTAATTTCTCGGATAAACTTCAACAACTCTCAACGATTTAGGAAGTGTTAATAATTTAATACAGTTTATTTAAAGTACGCACATTAAAGATAAAAAACATGATTTCCTTGATTATAGCTGATTTTTTTCGATGTTCAGAAAATTCTTTTTACACATATAAAAGCTATAAATCTCTTTGACATTTTCATTTAGATATATATTTAAAGAAAAATAAAATCTGAAGGTCTAAACGTTTATTTTGGATATAATTCTTTTATATTCACCAAAGAAATGCATATTAAAAATTTTATATTTGAAAATTAAATTTAACTGAAGATTTTAACTATTTCTATTGAAGATGTGACAATAAGTATTATCGGACTCACGTAAGTTTGCCCCGGCTTGTGTATTCTTTCCTCCCACTCCAGTAGGACTTCCACCGCCTCCACATACTCCTCTTTAATGGCATGCAAAAGTGCATCCTGAAAGATGCGGGAATTATGGTTTTAAGTGTTGTACGCTTTTAGGCGTCAGGATACAGCTAAAATACTGTGTAACTTAGATAGCGGCTTGTATTATTTTGTATATGGTAGAAACTTCATTTATCGACACACATATTCATCCTATTATTCATCTTATTTTATTATTATCGTTCAACAATATGTGTTTTGATAATTTCATTAATATGAACTTTGAATAAAAATTGACGACAGTACGTTTAACAGTGTTCAAATTAGAAGTTAACATTTTGAGCACGTTTTGTGAGGCTGATCATGGTGATCCAAAATGCGCCAGATGTATGCACGGAACTGTTATTAGTGTATCCCGGTAGACATCGATTATGGTATATCAACGTGACACATATTACCAGCAATAATTAGGGGAGCGGCTGTCGCGCATAATTTTCATGAGAGACGCCGTACCGTTTCGACCCCACGATATTTACCTTCACTTCAATTCCCAATTCGAGCAGCAGCTTGATAAGGTCGATATTTTCATTTTCAATAGCGGCTGTCAGCGCCGACCTGTTTAACGGATCGACGCAATTGATATTTAATATCTCTGGGTGATCTCGATTCTCCTCGATTAACCTGTTTGTTCGATTACACAACAATTATATTTTCGTTACCGAAACGATATCCGTGCGAGAATATTAAAAAGATTTATTTATGATAAAATTATAAAAATCTCATCACAGCAACCTTTACAACATCCATTTTAATATTCGCAGTATTTTATATGCAAGCAAAATATATTTTTATATAAATTTTATTTTTAATTAACAGTGCAGTAATCGATATTGTCTTAAATTATCAGCTGTCTTTGTAATCGCAACTTCTTCAGCCAATATAATTATTTTATAGAAGATGAAAGAAGATGAAAGAATTTTGTCAGTAAAAATCAAGAAAGTCATTAGTCACGACACAAATTAAAAATTCTTGATTTCTAAATATATATATATATATTTTTGCTTATACAATAAATATAAATATATAACATTAATTATAAAATATATTATTTATGATATATTAATCATATGTGTACATAATTATACAATATTTTATTTAAATTTATAAAATTTTTACAAAAAGTATAATTTTCGTGTATTGTTTCTTCTGTCGTATCAATAATAAAGTAAACTTTATTTTAAATAATTAAAGGGGATGGTTTGTCTTCATTTCTGTAATTATTTGCTACAAGTTTTACATGTTACAAATGGTTAATTGTTTGGAAGTGTAGTTCCTCTACATTTTTATTAAGAAAGAATTGATTCGAACTTAGCAAAGAATCTGCAAAAAGTTGATAATCCATAGATTTGGAATGCTCCGTGTTTATTATTACATACATACTTTTATCGATTTATAATAGATAATTCTGCTGACCGAAAGTTTTAAGAATATATTACCTAATGTAATAAAATAAATAATAATAAGATTTCTTCTTTGGGAGGGCGAAAGTTACGTAATCCTCAGTAATCCTCAAAATATTTTATGCCGTCGTGATTTATTAGGAAATTCTAATTAGTAACTTAAACTTTTCCTTGCTCACAAAACTTTCTAATTTATTTACCAGTTAGGCGAAATATTAAATTTTGTCTAATCGTGAAATATAATTTTATTACTCTACCCTTTATAAATATAGTATTAAAAAAAGAATAATCATGAGTAAATATAAACGTGTTATTTTTACTTTTAATTATTCGTTCATTAGCTTTCACATGAGTAAACAAGTACAATAACATATGGAATTTAAAATTTAGAATAGTATTCTCTTTCTTTTTGATAACTGCAATACAATTAGCAAAATAATAATTCACAAACTTTCATAATTAGAAGAAAGTAAACAGATAGTATTTTACTTTGCGTGGACAGTTGGGAATCTATGTGATTAATCTATTTATTGCTAATATCAAGATATATAAACAATATATTTAAAAAAAATAAGTATTTGCTCTAAATTTTTAAGACATCACGAATAACAAAACTTCTTCTTCACCAGTAATTAAAGAAAGTAGATAGACAAGTAATATTATTGGATAAACTCGGTACAATTTTAATTAGAACAATTTACTGCGATAAATGTTACCACATGCTTCGATGGTCGAATTGGTTGAAACGCCTATTACGGCATGAGGGGGGGGGGGTCCAGATTTAAATCCTGGCTGAGGTAATATTTTTCGCACAAAGTTTTTCTAATGAAAATCATAGCCAGCTTGTCGAATAATATATTATTGTCTTTTAAAACATCAGTTAAGAATGTTAGTGAAAAACTCAATCGTTTGTCAAAGTCAGAGTTATTAATCTATAATTATATCTAAATAATATTTCACACACCTAATTACGTCTTTGATCTGGTTCATGGAGGTTTATTTTAAAACCTAATTTATTTTACGTGTCGCCTGGGATGTCTTTAAAGGGACATTAAGAAGAGAAAGGCGGGATTACCTTTTGACAGTGGCACAATCACCTCGTTCTGCGCTAAGCAGGAAATGCTTCTCGACTGGGCCAAGAACGTAGTCAACGGGCGCCTGTAACGATTGCGCCGAAGGTGGTCTTGCCTCGTTCGATAATAGATCCTGCTGAGATTCCGATGGATCCATTTTTCTCTAATGTATTCTCGAGACGGTATTTACAAACTGCTGAAGCTGTTGAAATCACATAAAACGTCTTCTTCTCACTTAAAATATTTTTTTCTCCCTTAAAATTAGAAATGTTCTTATCTAAGCTCCATAATTCTGGAATTGAAACTATGCGGAATGTTTTCGAATCATCGAATGTCTTGTTTTAATTTTGGTTTAGTGCGAAAGCGATTTCCCTGCAACGAAAATGCCGAGTCAGTTATACTGTTTGAACTGCACGTAATACAAAATAAGGAGCGAATTAAGATTTGACAAAGAAATGACGAAGTCATATTCTACGATCTTTAAGCAACGCTTGTTTTAATCGTGTTTAATAGTGCATGTTCAACGTTGAAGAATACGCGTTCCTTACTTATTATTACTTATCATTTAAAATATACCATTTTGTAAAACTATTTGTAAAGTAGTCGTAATTAAAAAGATTTCGCATGTTGAGATCTAAGATAATTAATAGATGAAAATGAATTGAAGTTAGTAACTTTACATGTTTAATATGCAAAAATATAGTCACCTTCTGCAGTGCATAACGCAATACTTATTCCCTTTACTACCAACACTCACTCCGTTATGTGTAGAGTTCACCAAAAATGGATCGTGCGTTCTAGGGCAAAAACTAGAGGGTTTGTAAGAACGTCGAATTTTCGAAAAATAGAAAAATCTAGTTGTTCTGTACGTACGACATGTAATCTTCAGCCTCATGCAAAATGTAATAATGGAAAGCGAGAGAGTGGACACAAATACGATGTGATATCATGTATAAGGCTTCCTATGCTTATACATTACAAGGAAGATATTTAGATCAAGTAGACCAGTGCTTCTCAAATATGTACTACAGTTAATAATTATCATGATACATAATAATTTTCAAATAAAAATGCGATATACATCATTAACTACAGCTAAAGCTACGAGTTCGAAGAAACGATTTTTGCTAAAGTGTGTCGTAAAAATTATATAAAAATATGAAACTGATAAAAGAAGTTCTTTTAAGTCCGTTTTGAAATAGTGGAAAAAAGGGAAAAAATATTAATTTCTATTAATCAATTTCAATATATTAATTGCTGTCTTATTTGTTATTACGTTAAGTTTTAATTAGAAATTTTAATTTTATATCGTTCTATATAAAAAATATACATAATTTAAATCCAAGACCCTCACCAAGATATAAACTAGGGCTAGTAATTTCCTTCGAAGGCTTCGACATTCGAACTTTCGAAGCTTTGAAGTAATTCGAAGCTTTGTTAGAAATAATTCTTGGTTTTTAATTCTAATGCAAATCAATGTAACGATATATTAACCAAAGTGTCTTTAAAACATTTAAATGTGTAATTACAAACTACATAAAATACCATCAAATTTTATTATCACACTTTTTTTACATATCATACACTTTGAATGATATTCGAAATAAAACATCCGAGTTAGCTTCTGAATGAATTATTTAATTTCTAAACGTAAGAAGAAATACACCGTAAAACACACATGCGTGCACACATGAACACAAATAGCATATCTGATTAATATATTTTGTCTTTTGTATTCGCCAAATTAAAAGTTGCTTCGCGTAAAAATAGAAATAATTCAAAGACACTCTATTTTTATGAACGTTATCATTTTGCGAACGGACTTTTATAACACACACTTGTGTTAAATAAACGTATTTTTAACAAATTACTCCAAGAAAATTTTTTAAGCTTTAATCAATAGGCAAATTTCATGCAAGAGCAGACCGCGTTTCCCACCGATCTTTTTCAACTTATTGTTAGACTATTTTGTACGAGAAACGTATTGCACTTACATGCTTTTTCATGTCGATGCCAACATGCTCACGCGAGAGACGCTAGACGTATACTGTGTAATGGTCACATCTACGCGTGCGATTCGACGAAACCTTACGATATTGTGCCAGGCGGATTGATCTTCAGGGTGCGGATTAAGCACGAGGGCGAGGCGCCGCGTACCGAAAGAAAAGAACAGTCGGGTACGCCAGAGACTCACCACATTGTCCAGTATTGTATAGCATTGGCGTTATCACTACGAGGTATATGCGGATCGGGCGACAGAATCTCTTTCCCTCTCTGTCTAACTCCCCAAATAATGGAACGCGGTCTATTACGACGATACGGGACTAAATCCAAAGCTCGTATGCTGGCAACGCATTCTCGCTCATTCTTCTTCATGTTTTCCGCCGCCCGCGTAATTATTTATCTCCCCTGCGGCGTGGTGTCATTTCTGCGTTTAGTGCGACGCATCCGTAATAATTCGGGAGACAGAACAGAGAAGGATCATAAAACTGATGGCGGAAGGCACGTAGGGTATACCGTAGCGTAAATTTTTCTGACGCAAACAAGTATATTTGATGTATTGCAGCATATAAAAATATACTTATGCCCGTAAATTCTAATGTTTGCTGTAATTATTCTTGAAATGGTGGACAGACAAATGAATAAATAGGTAATTTGGTTCTAATAAAACGCTCAAGTTTAGGACAGAAAAATTATGAAAGTTTTCTTTTCTTTGAAGGAAAGTGTAGAACAGCAGTAACAAGTAATAAAAAATAGAAGTAAATACAAAAAAATAGGAAAGCAATAAATAATATATAATAGACACATTTTAGTATAAATAATATAAAAAAATATGCTGTCCAATGTTGATATGTAAGATTAATTAATTAATTATTCTATGCATAATTCAAAAGAAAGAGATTTGCATAATTTTTTTGCCATTCATGTAACGCTCTCCACTTCTTAAAAAAATCCAAATACATTTTTAAACCAGATTGAATATAAAATCCATAGTATACACACATATAATACGCACACACACACGCGCGCGTAAAAAGAGTAGCGTCAACTTCTGTAAGTCTATTATTTTGTTATTCTAACAGAGAAAAAGTGACAAAGAAAATCATTCGAATGCAGTAAAGTAATTTGCGGCAATACAAACATAAAAACTGTATTCTCTTACTGTTAGTAAAAAGAAGTGACTGATAAAGTTTCACACTCTCTGAAATTGAGTAATATTAACAACATTAACCTTACGCCAATTACTCGCAAGCTGAATCGTTTGTAATTTTGCGATGAAGCTATTTGAATATTTTATCTGAGAGTTTAAAGAGAATTAGGTAAGGAAATTCCACAAGGATTAAATAATTGCTAGGAAATAGTATTTTTAGATAATGCTTCAACGATGTAAACCGGATGCGCGATATAGTATACAAGCCTAAGATCACTGAAGGAAAAAGGAGAAAGAAAGTAAAGACATTTGCCCTATTTTCATTTAAAATAAAGCAATAATCAACGAGACAAGGGGATAGGTATCGTACTGACAATGAGACAAGCTCATATCCAGCCACTTTGTTTTCTTTTAATTATATGTAGTTACGTATTAAATTCACATACATCATAAGAACGGCGTAGACTACTGAGGACACTATCTATGACGCATGCATTGTGATGCTGTGACAAATCCTTATAATAGGTACTTATCGTAAGCACAGGCTGGATCTAACGATCGGTCATATCATAGGATATTGTTTATGCAACATGCGAGGCTTACAACGAATTCGGTTCAATGTACCAGACTGCGCGCAAAAGACAGTCGCGTACAAATTGACGTAAGAGCCAAGCAATATCAATGGCTCGTTAATAATGCTCGATGCAAGTCACTGTGTGTTTAGCAAAGTTTAGCAGTGTGTTGAAAGATATTAATTTTATAAGATAAAACTTTTTGTACACAACTATTATGGGATACTAAAAATAAGACTGCATAATAATGACAAGCTAAAAAAGGAAACTTTTTATTATATTACTTCAATATTTGCGAAATTTTCTTTCACGGGTCTTCGAGAAATGCAAGAAACGTTTTCAGTAATCGTTTTCACGGCGATGAGCCTCTTGGAAGAATGGAACCTCCAAGTGGAATTAAATAAAGTGTATGTTTGGTTATATGAATATTGACCAATATTAACGCATTGTTACAAACTGTCAAATAGGTAATTAACCAGTGTACGTTGATTTAGACTATTTTAGACGTTTCAATAGCAACAGGTTTACGTCATGCTTGTCACATAAATACGACGATTCTTAAACATTTAAAGTGTTATTAGTGCATCCAACCGAATTCATTATTAGCGGCAACATGCTGCGGACGCGACAAAAAGAATGCGAACAATTACAATACGAATCTGCGATTACATCGACGGTACTTCGGAGCGATGAATCATCAGCTTTGTATGTACATCGAATAAGGAGGCAGGTGGATGTACAGCGCGGTATCCGATATGAGATTCACGGCTCGGTATTTGCTATCAGCTTACGGGTACGCCGATAAACACTTAGCGCTTGATAAAAAAAATTAAGAGAAATGAAGATAGTTCTTTTTCGAGAAGAAAACGAGTATATATTTAGTGCTTACTTCCTCAAGAAATAGGATAAGGAAGATATATAGGATAAGATATAAAAGAGATCCGTTCAATCCTTTAGCTACAAATATATGTGTGCGTATATATCCAGCATAAAGCATTTTATTGAAAATGCATTTGCAACAAAAGCAAGACGAGTTATAAGCAATTGATCATATCTCGCTGTTGAGAGGAACGTTTTTATAAAAATAATAAGAAAAATAATAGACTAATGTGTCGCGATTAAGTTTTTGTAATTTCATAATTTCAAACAAGCATTTTCGTACATGACAGCTAACAGATTGAAGAAAACCATTGCCATTTTATTATATAACATTTATTATAAGTATAGCACATAATACTAAAATATATTGTAAAGTCTAAATAGTTCTATAACGAGTAAAGGAGGTAGATGATGAAATATACCGCAGTAACAAGTAACACATCGAAATTAAATAAGAAGTTAATACGATTCAGTCAATTTCTAACTCTCGCAAAAGACGTTGTGATAAGTTTGCACGTAAAAAAATTAAATGGAGATTGATTTCTCAACGAAACAACTATTCATTCAACTTGCAAAGAAACTCGAGCTTTCCCCAAATAAATCTTATTTTTGTATAATATTGCAACAGGCGGATAATCATTTTCAATTTGTTTAACAAGTTGACACGCTTGAGATCCGCTTTAAGTACAAATCCGCGCTGATAGTAACGCGACCCGGCCGTCATCTCAAAGCCAAATATAGTTCGGTCATGGCGATCAAATCGGTTCGACAAACTGGAGCGCTACGAATCCTCGTTGACATCCGGCATCGAGTCCGCGGGACGGATCCACATGGGGACGATCTCGGATCTCGGACGAGTTCGGATAACAGCGGCAGATTGGTTCACTCATGACGACTCAAGCCGTCCTGATTCTCCGAAGCCCCTTCCAAACTGATCTCGCCGGTCATCTTGTTCAAGCCGTTGCAAAGACGGAGCAGCCTCGATATATCCGGATGTAATTCCGTGTCGTTAACCACGCCGTTCGAAATAAGCGCCGAACACACCACAGATAGATCGAGATCGGCCGGCACAACTTGTACGTTACGACCAAACCTATTTTGAGCAAAACTTATTCATTTATTCCATGTTTGAATATTCACACCTTCGTTCATGTTTTCGTAACTATTGGTAAATTTATCGATTTGCAGAAATTTGAAACTTTCAGATAACAGCGAAGTTAAACGGAGGAAACAGTTTCTTAAAATAGAGAGGGAATATTATTAACTTTTTTCTGCTTTCAGATTCTATTTTTGATTAGCCAAATATTGCATTGGGAAAACATTTCTTTTATATTTATTCTCGTCTTATTGCTGAATCGGAAGAAAAGAAATTAAGTAAACTCGTCCCAAGTAGTACAATGCATTGGCTAAACATTGGTCCAATGTTGGTGATATTAGAAATGCATTGGTCGATGTTGTCCAACATAAAGTCAATATTGGCCACGGATTAAATGTAAATATTGCATGCACAATGGATTCATATTGGGTATACTAGAGTTCCATTATTTCCCAATATGCGTCAATATATTGTGCTACTAGGGATTCTTTTTTTTTTACCAAAATAAATTGGGATGTTTTTGCCTTTTGAATTAATATAAAATAATAATTGTACCCAAAACTCCCTTCTTTACTATTTTATATTAGTAAATGCACATATAATTTAATTTACGCGTGTTGTTCTATTGTACGTTTCCGCAAAAATCTTATGACTTGGGATAGAATTAAGTACAATATTTAAAAATCCACGCGAAATCTAATAAACAAGTTTCATTTTCGAAGATTCGAAAATATTCATAAAAAATAATACTCGTATTTTATACATTGCGCTTGCAAAATAATCCGACTAGTTTTGAATTTTAGAAAGAGTGCAGGATACGTCAAACTTAAGGTTTATTCTTCAATTTTTCAAGATTTGCTTCTAACAATAAGTAGTGCCGTATATAGCGAAATTATTGTATACAAATAAGCCTGGAAGCATTGGAAAACTGAGAGATTCCACGCTTTAAAATGCGTTTTTGAATATTGTTTGACAACTATCTTTGGCAAAGATACGCGACTTTGAATTCGATCCTTTTTGGTACTTATTTTAAACGATCCGTTAATTTTGTTGAGTTGTTTATTTGTAATTATAAAAATACAATGTTTTAAGATTATTATCGTTTTATACAAAAACGTTTTGCTTGAAAGGAACGTACTTCTAGTGAAATAATTATACAAATTTCGAACATGACTC